GTAGATTTGTATGTTCACACTAGACAAGTTAGTCGTAGATTTGTTTGTTCAGACTTGACACGTTAACTGTAGATTTGTATGCTCTGACCAGGCAAGTTAACCGTTGATTTGTATAATCAGCCCTTCATCCCAACATGCCACTGGCCAAATATCATCATCCTAGGGCTTTTGGTTACTGAAAAGAAGTTGTTTAAAGTACAAGAGGCTCAGGGGCCTTAATAGCTCACCTGGTATTTTATTTTCAGTTTAAAACCTGCTGAGTATACCATACAGGTTTATCAAAGGAGTACAAAGTTGCAAGATGAACTACATATAAATCTGTTTTGATGGATAAGACGTACACCAAGAAAATGATTTTCCATGTAATGACCCGTTATTTAATCACGAATGATAGCCATTCATCACATTACACTTCTGGTTAAGTATCATCATCTCTATCCTGTTCGTTAGTTAGGAAAATTTGTTTAATGGTTTTGCCACATTTAATCCCTATGACCATGCTTTTCTGATCAGTCCACAAATGAAGCCTGTCTAATTATTGACTTAGGAGAACCTACATCTGAAATTTGACAAACTTAAACTCTCAAAACTTCAATCAATGACATGAATTGTTTAAGGCTGGATGGACGACAGACCATGAACAAAGAGTGGTTTGATTAGCCAACCATGTGATGATGGTGGGCTATAAGAAGGAAATGTTGAGAGAAGAATGTACATCATAGTAGGGCAGCAAGGACTATAGACAGGACGTGTTCCCGTGGACCGCTGTAGGGCAGCAAGGACTACAGACAGGACGTGTTCCCGTGGACCGCTGTAGGGCAGCAAGGACTACAGACAGGACGTGTTCCCATGGGCCGCTGTAGCTGTGACAGCCTGTCCGCATCTGAGGAGCTGTCCGACCTCAGAGCGTGACCTTGATGGGCAGGACTTAAGAATCTCAGAGGGCCAGTAAGCGCCAACTTACCCCCTCAAGTCGACCGAACACCGACTTCGTCAGTGAAGTGTAGACTATAAACCAACCAACCAACCAGAAGAATGTACATAAGTCAGCCTACCTCTCTCATTTGGTGTTCATCTTTCCCCTCAAATGTTACGTGTTGACAAAGAGGAAACTTGTGTACAATTATTATTCGTTCAATCTGAAAAATAACAACAATTATTACTGTATTTATTGGCACGGAAATTAAATTAATTGTTCAATGGGTATTCTAAGAACTAGCTGTCAGTCTCATACACTGGTAACTAGCTGTCAGTCTCATACGCTGGTAACAAGCTGTCAGTCTCATACACTGGTAACTAGCTGTCAGTCCCTTATGCTGGTAACAAGCATCAGTCTCATACACTGGTAACTAGCTGTCAGTCTCTTAAGCTGGTAACTAGCTGTCAGTCTCATACGCTGGTAACTGGCTGTCAATCTCATACACTGGTAACTAGCTGTCAGTTTCAGTAATGATACATGTCCCCTACATATACCCTGACACACTGTCTAGTAATGATACATGTCCCCTACATATACCCTGACACACTGTCTAGTAATGATACATGTCCCCTACATATACCCTGACACACTGTCTAGTAATGATACATGTCCCCTACATATACCCTGACACACTGTCTAGTAATGATACATGTCCCCTACATATACCCTGACACACTGTCTAGTAATGATACATGTCCCCTACATATACCCTGACACACTGTCTAGTAATGATACATGTCCCCTACATATACCCTGACACACTGTCTAGTAATGATACATGTCCCCTACATATACCCTGACACACTGTCTAGTAATGATACATGTCCCCTACATATACCCTGACACACTGTCTAGTAATGATACATGTCCCCTACATATACCCTGACACACTGTCTAGTAATGATACATGTCCCCTACATATACCCTGACACACTGTCTAGTAATGATACATGTCCCCTACATATACCCTGACACACTGTCTAGTAATGATACATGTCCCCTACATATACCCTGACACACTGTCTAGTAATGATACATGTCCCCTACATATACCCTGACACACTGTCTAGTAATGATACATGTCCCCTACATATACCCTGACACACTGTCTAGTAATGATACATGTCCCCTACATATACCCTGACACACTGTCTAGTAATGATACATGTCCCCTACATATACCCTGACACACTGTCTAGTAATGATACATGTCCCCTACATATACCCTGACACACTGTCTAGTAATGATACATGTCCCCTACATATACCCTGACACACTGTCTAGTAATGATACATGTCCCCTACATATACCCTGACACACTGTCTAGTAATGATACATGTCCCCTACATATACCCTGACACACTGTCTAGTAATGATACATGTCCCCTACATATACCCTGACACACTGTCTAGTAATGATACATGTCCCCTACATATACCCTGACACACTGTCTAGTAATGATACATGTCCCCTACATATACCCTGACACACCGTCTAGTAATGATACATGTCCCCTACATATACCCTGACACACTGTCTAGTAATGATACATGTCCCCTACATATACCCTGACACACTGTCTAGTAATGATACATGTCCCCTACATATACCCTGACACACTGTCTAGTAATGATACATGTCCCCTACATATACCCTGACACACTGTCTAGTAATGATACATGTCCCCTACATATACCCTGACACACTGTCTAGTAATGATACATGTCCCCTACATATACCCTGACACACTGTCTAGTAATGATACATGTCCCCTACATATACCCTGACACACTGTCTAGTAATGATACATGTCCCCTACATATACCCTGACACACTGTCTAGTAATGATACATGTCCCCTACATATACCCTGACACACTGTCTAGTAATGATACATGTCCCCTACATATACCCTGACACACTGTCTAGTAATGATACATGTCCCCTACATATACCCTGACACACTGTCTAGTAATGATACATGTCCCCTACATATACCCTGACACACTGTCTAGTAATGATACATGTCCCCTACATATACCCTGACACACTGTCTAGTAATGATACATGTCCCCTACATATACCCTGACACACTGTCTAGTAATGATACATGTCCCCTACATATACCCTGACACACTGTCTAGTAATGATACATGTCCCCTACATATACCCTGACACACTGTCTAGTAATGATACATGTCCCCTACATATACCCTGACACACTGTCTAGTAATGATACATGTCCCCTACATATACCCTGACACACTGTCTAGTAATGATACATGTCCCCTACATATACCCTGACACACTGTCTAGTAATGATACATGTCCCCTACATATACCCTGACACACTGTCTAGTAATGATACATGTCCCCTACATATACCCTGACACACTGTCTAGTAATGATACATGTCCCCTACATATACCCTGACACACTGTCTAGTAATGATACATGTCCCCTACATATACCCTGACACACTGTCTAGTAATGATACATGTCCCCTACATATACCCTGACACACTGTCTAGTAATGATACATGTCCCCTACATATACCCTGACACACTGTCTAGTAATGATACATGTCCCCTACATATACCCTGACACACTGTCTAGTAATGATACATGTCCCCTACATATACCCTGACACACTGTCTAGTAATGATACATGTCCCCTACATATACCCTGACACACTGTCTAGTAATGATACATGTCCCCTACATATACCCTGACACACTGTCTAGTAATGATACATGTCCCCTACATATACCCTGACACACTGTCTAGTAATGATACATGTCCCCTACATATACCCTGACACACTGTCTAGTAATGATACATGTCCCCTACATATACCCTGACACACTGTCTAGTAATGATACATGTCCCCTACATATACCCTGACACACTGTCTAGTAATGATACATGTCCCCTACATATACCCTGACACACTGTCTAGTAATGATACATGTCCCCTACATATACCCTGACACACTGTCTAGTAATGATACATGTCCCCTACATATACCCTGACACACTGTCTAGTAATGATACATGTCCCCTACATATACCCTGACACACTGTCTAGTAATGATACATGTCCCCTACATATACCCTGACACACTGTCTAGTAATGATACATGTCCCCTACATATACCCTGACACACTGTCTAGTAATGATACATGTCCCCTACATATACCCTGACACACTGTCTAGTAATGATACATGTCCCCTACATATACCCTGACACACTGTCTAGTAATGATACATGTCCCCTACATATACCCTGACACACTGTCTAGTAATGATACATGTCCCCTACATATACCCTGACACACTGTCTAGTAATGATACATGTCCCTACATATACCCTGACACACCGTCTAGTAATGATACATGTCCCCTACATATAACCTGACACACTTTCTAGTAATGATACATGTCCCTATATATACCCCGACACATTGTCTAGTAATGATACATGTCCCCTACATATACACTGACACACTTTCTAGTAATGATACATGTCCCTATATATACCCTGACACACTGTCTAGTAATGATACATGTCCCCTACATATACACCGACACATTGTCTAGTAATGATACATGTCCCCTTAGAATATTGTTTACCATAAGATATGAATAAGTTGTGAGTTGCTGATGCAAGGAATCTGTGGCCTAATCAATAGTTTTGAGTTTGACCAGTGTATTGCTCTCACCTCATTGTTCAGCAGAATGGATTTCAACTCTTGAGATGTATCCAACACAGGCAATCTTGAATACATTAGAATTAACGACGCTAAAATTCCTAACCCAGCAACCGCTCCCAGTTGCATTTGTAAATTAAACAGATCTGAAATACAAAATTTGGTTGTATTAGCAAGAGGCCAAGATGGCCTATATCACTTACTCGGACCTTAATACCCTGCAATTGTATATGTATATCGGGCCAGGATCTCAACCATTAGAGTTATGGCCCAGAAAACAAGTCCCTTGGGTCCCACAAGAGTCATTAACTAATATAATGAGTGTGTTCATCTCTTGATGCCCAGCAATGATATATATGGTTATGCGGTGGGGATCTCAACCATTTCAAATTATGGCCTAAAAAACAATTCCCTAAAAGTCCCTAAGACCCAAGAGTCAATATTAATATCATGATTGAGTTTGTCTCCTGATGCCCAGCAATGGTATATATGGTAATGGGGTGGGAAACACAACTGTCTCAAAGTCATTGCTCAGAAATTATGTCCCTAGGAATGGGGCCAGACCCCAGGGTCAATTAATTTATCATGATTGGGGTTATTTCCTGATACTCAGCAATTGTTTGCATGGCTATATAGGGTGGGGATTTCCATAATGTCCAAGTTAAGACAAATATTGGTCCCACCCTTCAGACCTAGGGTCAGCCCTTCAACTGGTACAATTTTGAATCCTCAACCACTGCAGAATAATCCAAACCAAATATGGTTGATATCCATCACTTTGTTCCTGAGAAGAAGTCACTTTAAGCAATACATAGCAAAATTATCCCTTTTAGGCCTTGCCCCTCAGCTCCCAGGGGAGCCACACTCTTCGAAAAGACCCTTCTTGAGGAATTGAAAACTAGAACTCTGACCTGTCTGAAATAAAACTTTTTGGGGAATTGAAAACTAGAACTCTGACCTGTCTGAAAGGACCCCTTTTGAGCAATTGAAAACTGAGAACTCTGACCTGTCTGAAAGGACCCCTTTTGAGCAATTGAAAACTGAGAACTCTGACCTGTCTGAAAGGACCCCTTTTGAGCAATTGAAAACTGAGAACTCTGACCTGTCTGAAAGGACCCCTTTTGAGCAATTGAAAACTGAGAACTCTGACCTGTCTGAAAGGACCCCTTTTGAGCAATTGAAAACTGAGAACTCTGACCTGTCTGAAAGGACCCCTTTTGAGCAATTGAAAACTGAGAACTCTGACCTGTCTGAAAGGACCCCTTTTGAGCAATTGAAAACTGAGAACTCTGACCTGTCTGAAAGGACCCCTTTTGAGCAATTGAAAACTGAGAACTCTGACCTGTCTGAAAGGACCCCTTTTGAGCAATTGAAAACTGAGAACTCTGACCTGTCTGAAAGGACCCCTTTTGAGCAATTGAAAACTGAGAACTCTGACCTGTCTGAAAGGACCCCTTTTGAGCAATTGAAAACTGAGAACTCTGACCTGTCTGAAATAAACCTTTTTAGGGAATTGAAAACTAGAACTCTGACCTGTCTGAAAAGACCCTTTTTGAGGAATTTAAAACTAGAAACATGTTAAAATGTGACAAAATTGAACAGGTATGCAGTATGGCGTGTTGTTGACATCCACTTGTGTTATAATTACCAGACCCACATCTAAATGAACCCATACATCTGCTCTATAGAAAATCCACAACCTCCAGTTAGTATAAAACACTGAACACCTTAATTAAGGAATGCCCCATGGTCAGTTAGGTCAAATTAGAATTAAAGGGACTATTAAACAGCTCCATCCTCTCAGCAGAAAAACAGACACACAAACATCTGTAAAATTAAATGACCTCACAGGCACTTGTTATCAGTGGTCTTAAAAACAGTTCTTACAGATCTAGAACCTGTTATCACTGTATTATCATGGTTCATACAAAACTAGACGTTTGAAACTCTTCCTCCTTTTTACCTTCTATCTTGTCCTTTCCACCATATCTTTTGCTGTCTTTTTCACTTCCTTTTTCACTTCCTTTTTCACTATTAATTCTCTTTGCCGAAGTACTTATATTTTGAATCTGGTAGACATGACCTAAGTGTAGAAACATATATTAGATGACAACAATGTATATTTATAATTGTATAACATGTCCATCTGTTTTTATTTCATTATATTATCTGGTGATTCTATGCCTTTCAGTTCTTCAGCTTAACTTGTTTGTAGTTTTTGACATATTTGACCCATTCGACCTTCAAAGTAGGTCAATGTCATTTTCATACCCAACATGTGCCAGGCTGTATCCTTGGGCCAGGTGATGAGCTAATAAACTAAAACAGCTACATTGTACGTACCTGCTCCTTCAACTGAAATTGATTTACCTCCCAACATTGTTCTAGTATCAGCCTTCCATAGATGCTTTTCAAACAGTGCTGAATAAGTTCCCATTTTCTGTCTTGGATTACCCATCTGGAGAAACAGACATCATTTAATGCAAGCAATTAACATACACTTGTGCAGATTACATAATATACATGTATCCAGACATAAAGAGTAAACTTTTAGGTAAGTTTTACCTTTCTGTGGCTCACATGGACACAATACATGATATGACAAACACAGGTTTACTGTACTGACACACATAATATTCTTCATTGACACGTACAGATTTACTGCAGTGACACGTTCAGATTTACTGCAGTGACACGTTCAGATTTACTGCAGTGACACGTACAGATTAACTGCAGTGACACGTACAGATTCACTGCAGTGACACGTTCAGATTAACTGCAGTGACACGTTCAGATTTACTGCAGTGATACGTACAGATTTACTGCAGTGACACGTTCAGATTAACTGCAGTGACACGTACAGATTCACTGCAGTGACACGTTCAGATTAACTGCAGTGACACGTTCAGATTTACTGCAGTGATACGTACAGATTTACTGCAGTGACACGTTCAGATTAACTGCAGTGACACGTACAGATTCACTGCAGTGACACGTTCAGATTAACTGCAGTGACACGTTCAGATTTACTGCAGTGATACGTACAGATTTACTGCAGTGACACGTTCAGATTTACTGCAGTGATACGTACAGATTTACTGCAGTGACA